GGATATGCTTTATATGTGAACATGTTAATTATTTCAAATCATTAATCAATTTATTTCTATATTTTTAAAATTAAACGAATTATTTCTTGTCTTGCTCTTATTGCTTTTTCTTATTCTTTATAATTTTCTTTTATGTTATTCCTTATCTGTTATTATTTATCTTTTCTTCATGTGCACTATTTATAAGTGAACATGTTGTGTTAATTGTTTCAAATCACGAATCCATTTATTTCTGCACCTTTTCAATTAGTTATTCTTTATCTTACTCATTTATCTTATTCTTTTTGTTTTTCTTTATATGCACAATTTATAACTGAACATGTTATGTTTCTTATTTCAAATCATAAATCTATTTATTTCTGTATTTTTAAAATTAATTTTGTTCTTTATTTTACTATTTTATATTATTTTTTTATTGTATCCTTTATATTAACACAGTAAATCTTGTATTACATAGAAATCTGTAAAATTTTCAGACTTTAATCAAAGCAAATTTGCCGTTTCTTGTCTGAAATATGGGACACGGAACAGAAAAGATAAACATTTTTTATTCATAAGCATTGAATAATTGAATGGAAATTTTCTCTATTTTTTCTCTAGCTTAACATTTTTTAACTTCTAAACTCATGTAATATTTTGTGCAATTTTCTGCACAGTAATAATATTTATATAATAAAAAGACTGGAACTTATTTAACACAAAAGCTTAAAATCAATTTATATCACAAAATTCGTGAAAAGAATAAATGTGTGCAAATAATTACAGCATTTTTGAATAAATTTATGTTATTAATTATAATATTTTGATTCCAAAAATCAGTACTTTCAACTATTGTTTATGCAAATCCGATAAGAGGAATTGTTTCTTAATTTTAATAAAACCTAACTGTTATTTAAAACGAACTCATTTTTATTTAAACATTTTTTGAAATCAAAACTATATTAAATTTTTATTAGGAAAAAACATTCACACTTTTTTTTTCACATTTTTTTTATTAGGAAAATATGGAAACGTAATTCATTGTTTTTAATCCCAATAGAAAATTTTTATGATTTTATAATGCTTTTAAATACTCAAAAGCTAAGTAGGAGCTTTCAAAGAAAATTAACGCAAACTAATGTGATAGAATGTTTTAGAATTTTGGACCAGTTCTGCATAAAGTAGATCTGATGTTTTCAGTAGAATTCAATTCCTTGATTCTGTAGGCATTATGTAAGATTCTGTATATAGAAACTCTGTGTATTGTTTTACAGAATACCTGCACAAAGCTCTATAGGATATCTACATTTTTCTCTAGAAGATCTCTACATATTACTGTATAAGGTATTTTCTCCCTCCTTTCAGCATTCTTTCGTAGTGTAATTGGTAGCCCACTCGGTGCGTATTCGAGAAGTCCAGATTCGAGTCCCGCCGAGGGCATTGCACATTTTTCCCCTCTCTTGCTTCAAAAGTCCTAATGACTCTGCAGTGGTGCCCGAACTAAAAGGTGGTGGATGATAATGCTTCACCACCAGGATTTGGTGACCGGGACCCCTAATACTCAGTCTCCCTTTGAAAGGGGGAGTATGTAAGGTATTTTCTAACTTCTTTCTGCATACCTTTGTGGTGTAACGGTGTACGATTTTCACTAGTGTAATTCTCAGTTACTGTAGAAAGTCACGAATCTTAAGAACTAGTTAGCGAATAATCGCTTAAGTTCGTGTGAAGAGAAACAATAATATGAAACGGTAACTAACCCTTTATTATTCCAATAAAATTTAAAATGACTCCGTCTTGGAGTGTACAATCAAAGCCTACACTTGGGCTTGAACTTAAGAGACTAAGAATTAAACTAAAACTAAGATTAACTGAAAGAAATATTGCCGAAGATATCACGATTCTGGATCTAGTTGGCCCCTTAACCCGTTATCTGACTACGAAACTTAACAAGGGTCTCAGTACGGCCGAGCGTAGATAACAGCTTTGAAAGAGAGAGTAGGCCAAAAGGCAAACGCGGCGTAAATCAAGAAATTCTGAGTTCTCTCTGCTAACTCTGTAAGTAACTTCGCGGTTTAAATACCGCTCCTCCTCATTAAGTATTCAGAAAGATTCCAAAACTACGTTCTGGCCGGAAGTAATAGGTTGAAGTTAAGAATTTGACCGGAAAGGAACTTTATTTAACTTTAACTTAAAATTTAACTGTTAATAAAATTAACATAATCGTTACAACGGTAAGACACTCGGCGCATATGCGAGAGGTCCAGGTTCGAGTCCCGACGAGGGCATTGCACATTTTTTATATCTTCTCCTTCAAAATAACCTATATGTAACTATATAGAAGCTACATAAAAATTTTATAAAATTATATAGAAAATCTCGGAAGTAGTTTAAAGGATTCTAAAGAAATTTAACATTGCCTTTTTAATAAATTTGTGTAACACATTTTCGTTACAACTATACATATTTCCGTACATTACTGTATAAAAGGTATATCTAAAATTTTACGGAATTTTATAGATTTCTGATCTAGTTTATAGAAAATTCAGCTACGGATCTAAATGATACTATAGATGTTTAACATCGTTCTTTTTTCATAGAATTGTATATAAGACATTTTCGTCACATCAGCATACATATCTGTAGAATCTCTATAGACTATAAAACATTTCTGACCTATTTTATAGAAAATTGAGCCACAATTCTAAAACATTCTAAAGAAGTTTAACACTGAACTTTTTAATTTAATGATGCGTCTATATATTCAAAAGTAAAATACTGTAAGATGTTAATGAAAAATTAAAGTATGAAGACTTGCTTAGAATTCTTTATAATTATAGTCCATTTTCCTAAAACTAGATCTGAATTTTCAGTAGATTTCAATTATCTGATTCTGTACGCATCTTACCAGGTTCTATAGGTGTAATCTTTAGAAATTCTGTACACTTTTTATAAAATCTCTATACACTATTTACGCACATCAATATCGAACCTCTAAGCACACTCCATGAGATTCTGCATATGGGACCTTCAGAAACTCTGTATACATTTTATAGAATATCTGCACAAATCTCTATTGAATACATGCACATAGCACTATATAATCTACATACATAGCCATGTAGAAGCTGTATCTAAAATCTTATAGAATTCTATAGAAGATGTTTATTCTAGTTTAGAGAAAATTGGGATATCATTCTGAACGATTCTGGAGGTATTTAACATTGGAAAGAAAGTTAAAATTTTATTCATTTTTTTAATCCCAAAGAACTATTTTGTTGATTTCACAATGCTTTTAAATACTCCAAAGCTTTTCCAAGATAGTTTATAGGTCTTTTCTTTATCATCTGTATTTTCGTCTATCAACACATGTCTCTACAGAATCGCCTTACATAGCACTATGCATACTATATTCAAAACTTTATAGATTTCTAGAAAAGAATTTTGTAGAAAATCTCTCACCTAATTTAAAGGATTCTAAGTTTAATATTTTGATTTTGGATAGAATTCTGTAAGACATTTTTGTGCAATAAACATATCTCTATATAATATATAAACCAGGAGTGAGTTCTCAACCTATTTTGTGCTACGCAGCCTTTTCACTATCGCTATAAGATTATTCCCCTACCCTCTCCTTTTTGAAACTTGAAAAATATGATGCGGACACTATGTAACTTCCTTGTACGGCCTCTTAAATCGCATATATTTTTTCCTGCAATTCATTTAAATTTATTTTCTCGAATTAATCTAATTTAATGAACCAATCCCTTAAGCCAAGTTAAAAATACGTCTAAAATTTCAAATTTTGAAATTAAATATTCCGGTCAAATTTGATCGTCCGGAGTCAAACTTGTGGTATTTTCAGTTTTTCATAACGAGCATAAAACCTTACCAAATATAAGTATAGAGAGAGGGAGATTGCATTAAAGGGTAAATTTCGTTATTAGTCCAAAACTACTTTTTTTTAATTTAATTTTACCCAAACATGAATTGTTTCGTAATTTTAAACACTTCTGTAACTGAAAGTATATGTCTACGACTAACGACTGCGAAACTAAGGCTGAATAAGGACTTGTAAGCGCAAAAAAGGCCAGATGAAGACTTTATGGGGGTAATATATTCGGTATTGCCGAATGCAATAAAGGAGGGAAGTGTACAACTATATGTTACAGCAAAACAATAATATTTAAAATTTCAACAAAAACATTCAGCATTCTACCGCTAATCGTTTCTTTTGGATTATGCGGGATATATTAATATGTAGGCAGAGAAGTCACAAAAAATATCCATTTTGAGTTCATTTTACAATCCGTTTTGAAACGTAGAGTCCTTTATTCTGTCTGAATTCGCAGAAATCACGCAAAAAGTAGTACAAATGGATTTGGAAACTCTCATATATATATATATATATGTATGTATTTATATATATATATATATATATATATATATATATATATATATCTATACGTATTTTTAAGTTAAATAACAAAAGTATATCAAATGTTGATAAGTACAAAAATTTGAACAGAAGTTCTTTTTTATATTAAGAAACTAAAGCTAAATACTTAAAAGCTAAATAAAATGGTAACCGAGTCCCCCACCGCTTAGAGGTGAATTCTCTCTTAATTGAAAAACCTCTGCTCTGCTATACACATAACTTTACAGAATCTGCATACAAAATTTACAGAGTTCTGACAAAGATCTCTGACCTAGTTTATGTAAAACTGGGCCATCATTCTAAATAATTCTATAGAAGCTTTACAAATTATTTATGACTGAATTCCATAAGACATTTTCGTCATATCAACACATATCTCTGTAGACTCCATACACAAGCTATATCTAAAATTTTAGAGAATTCTATAGAAGATTTCTGATTTTGTTTATAAAAAACCTGGGCCATAATTCTGAAGTAGGTTAAGACTGTATTTTGATTGACATTTATAATACATTTAGACCACTGGATTGTTGAGCAAAAAGAAGTTGCAAAAGTTGAACCGAAGACAAAAAAGATGAAAGCTTACCTAAAGAAGTGAGCAAGCTATAGCAGCTGAAGAAAAGTGCGACGAGGCACTTGTAGTTCATGGCTTTCTGGGCCTTTATCCGCACGTGGCCCCCATCGTACACTACTATCTACTGGCCTATGAAACAGAAGAACTGTCACCGCCACATCTGCTGTGTCCAGTCTCACCTCATAGTCCAACAGCTCTTGGCGGCCATTTTGAAGCCCACAATAAGTTTTCGTGCAGTTCGCACACAGCCCCACACAACACAATAGCACCTGATAGTAAAGTAGAAATGAAAGTCCTGAAAAAGGAGTTGTCTCCGGAGAAAAGTTGGTACCGTCTTAGCAATAAATTCGAAATGACGTATCCTAAAGGAGTTGCTGAACACCAACTTGAAATCCAGAGATACACACGTAATAATCGAAAACACAAATTACTTCTTTCACTGAGTCTCTTCAAATAGTAGAAATATGCTAAGAAAAGAAGTTTGAACACAGATACATGCCTTTCTTGAGAAAAAAATGTTTAAAAATTGGGTTAAAGGACTAGAAATGTTGTCTACTCTGCATACAGACCTTGCCTGTGAGTACACGTCTTTGATAACATCAGCTCACTAGTGGTTGAATTTCCAGAACTTGTTGTACAATCTTTTGTCAGTACCTGATGTACAGAACTTGCTGTATTATTCTGATAACACTTCCCTCGGTGATGGTAAACTTGATAAACGTTCCGATGTTGAAGCTTCGACATTCGTTGTGTTGTAAATTTCATGTCTTATCACGATAAGATAGAGGCTTATATTCCAAGAAGTGTATCCTTGTTGGCTAGCATATTCTTATGTCCAAACTTGACTTTCAGAAACTTCACAGATTGTTTCTGGTGTCTGGTCCACAACTTAAGCATTCACGAAAGAACTGAAACACGCCGGGGATGTGTTTTCCTAGTATTTGGTATTCAGAAGCAGGTTGGAGCGTAAAATAAATAAATAAACAAATAAGCAAGAAAGATAAATAAAAATTGTCGAAGAACACTTTTTGTTAAGTTTCTTGGAACACTTCCAGTGCTTTCGTGAATATTTGTAGCTTATGTTTGAGCTTTAAGAAATCATCCAAACAGTTGCAGTCAGTTCAACCAGTAATTTATATACTCCCCTAGAATGTCCATCAAAATATCCATAAAAAAAGACACAAATAAAGTGTTGTTGTCTAACCTCTTGTCGATTGTGTACCTGTACGACCTGTACTTGTTTAACTTTTTTAATGATCCATCACGGGTTCGAAGATTTAAATGATTCCACGACCGGAACGCACTCACAGATCATCACGCGAGCCGTGACACACTTTCGCCTGGTCCTGGACCCTTCGGGATGTACTCTTTCGCTCGTTTGGTTATCCGGGACTGGAGAAATAAAGACACCGGCTCGTAGTCCTCCCATGTTAGCCACCTACTTGAGGATGCGGTTCACCTCCGGATCATCTTTCGATGGTTATTCCAGTCCTTGTTCTCAAACGATCTGGGCTCGCTCGTTACTTCTTCTTCTTCTTCAGTCCGGCTGTATGTTCCCACTCTGGTGTCGCTCTCGGGTCCGGGAGTTGCCAGATCATCGACCGGACATCACGGAGCGATACATTCCAGCAACAGAGGAGGGATTGCCAGGCTGCTGCGGCCCCTTTCCCCGTCACGTGGTCACGCGCTTGCGCTGTGGTGTACTCTCCGGGAACACCAAGATGAGAGGATCGTCGCCGCGGCGACTGCGACGGCCTCTAGCGATGGCGGTGGGAAGGGGATGTCGATATTTCCTCCTCTTTGCAGAACGCTATTCCATGGGTGTGCAACTTCGTTCTCCCGTTCGAAGAAAGAAAAACTGTATTCGAATATCGGAAGAGGGTGCATCCGGTCGGAAGGGGGAACGTTGTTTGAAGTTGCGGGAAAATCAATGGCCGAGGAGCATGGGTTGCTCCACTAATTTATTCTCTCTATTTTTTTCGGGAAAAGACTGAAACGGTCTGTTGTTCCAGAGCGATTACGAGCTGTCGCCATCTAGTGGAGACTCGTGCAATACACCAGATTTAGAAAACAGGGTTAAAAATTTTACCGCTATGAGAGTTTAGATGGATTTTAGCACAACTTCGCAAATATTAAATTTTTTCGAGTATCAAATGCATGTGTTAACTTCAGAATCTTCTAAAAAAGTTTCTGGTAATTTTAATTGGGCTCAATCTGTGGATGACATATATATATAAATATTTTTAATTATTAAGAACTGAACATTTTTATATTGTTAGTTTTACTCTGAAAATAATTAATTAATTATTAGTAAAAAATTTATTCATTAATAAATCTATTCACCTAAGGCAATCGAATTTACGAGGGTTTTCGAAAAGATTTCTTTTTTTCTTTTTTTTTTCCTTTCAGTTTTCCATAACACCTAAAATAGTTCAATAATACTTAATTTTCTTTTTAATTTAAAGAAGCTGATAATTAAAAACTTTAATCAAATATACATTATTACAAAAACGAGTTAATTAAATATACCTTATTCGGTACTATTCGGTTTTGAGGGCCGTAAAAAAATTGCAGCGAAAATGTATGCGCAAAAGCACAAAATCTAGCAAACGCGCCCATTTAAAAACAGCACGCCAAATCTAGCGTACGCGTTGATTTCAGATTGCGTAAGTTTATATAGTTTTATATTTCTTAAGACGCCATTTACATACTAGTTTAATTTTTAAATCCTTTTTTGATATCCTATGGATTTAACAATTTGGGAATTGCCCATGACGAAAAGTCGGCAATAGAATTTTGGGTAAAGTGCAGAATCACCCACTGCTTGACGCGTTTTTAAGAATTGCACATACTCGGTATCCATGTGCACATCGACCTATTTTCACTTAAAAAGTAAACGAAAATTGACAAAAATTCAATTGTTTTTACTCTTGTAAAAAGCGGCAAGCAAATACGTGAGCGATTCTGCACTTTACCGAGAATATTTTCAAAGAAAAGGCATCATTCATTATAGAAAATTATGTTTGAACAACCAACGAGATGAAATTATGCTTTAGCGATAACTCGGTAGCGAAATAGCGATGCAGACATCCATTCAGTTATGTTTAGCAATTTTTATATAAATCATGATAATGATCTGAAATAGTTATTTACTCTTATGCTTCTATCCAGTCATGTTTAGCCTTTTTCATATAAATTATAATAATAAAAAAGTATTATATGAAATTAACCTTTCATCTAAATTAAAACATCAATCTTAAATAGTTATTTACTATTATACTTCCTTTTTTGCGGCAGTTATTAGGGTTGCCGCAATTTTTTTTCTCAGCATTGGCATCAACAATAGTTTGGCGATTTTTTACGGCCCTCGAAACCGAATAGTACCCATTATTCTTTGTAATAATACTCTACTATGAAGAGAATTTTTAAGATATTTGAATCAATAAATTGCAAATAATGAACACATGAATACAGTTAGGTAATGGCAATTTTTTTAATATGTAATAAATTTAAACAACAAGATTTATTGGTCAACATGTGCTAAATGTCAGCCATACTATTTTATTTAAGCGATGACTTTAGATGTTAAAACCTCATTCAATGGCCAACGGTAAGACCACCGAACACTAGTAATTCCACTTGAAATCGACTTCCGCGAACGAGCTGGCTGAATGTAAATTTTCGTGTTTCCACCCGTGCAACGTGAATACGAGCCAATTTCCCTCAGAAAGTTCTCTACGAAGGCACCCTTAACCTTTGGCCTTCGTGTTTCTATTCAAATAGGCTAATATAACATAGACGTTAATATTACACATGTAATTTTTGAATGGCATAAATTACAGTATAAAATTTCAATTGCAATTTTCATGAGGTAATTTTTAATATAGATGTAAATCTATATTAATATATTTATTAATAAATTTAGATGCAACTAAAATATATGCTATAATATATATATATATATATATATATATATGTAAAATATAAAATATCTGCAGTTCTAATATTAAATAAATAATGGCTCTTTAACTAACTGTATGTTCGCCCTTCTTTTTCCCTGCTTCGCCTTGCCATGTAAAGTTTACTTTCGTTGAGTGTCTAAGAAGATGTAAGCTGTACAAAATTGTGGGAGTGCATGTCGCACCCGTAAATGACGCTTACGAATCTGCTTATGAGTATAAAGGCTTGCACTGTTACGAAAATAAAATTCTGTGTTCAAATCAGCGGCCACGTCTGAAAGTTTTTGGTTTGTGCATCCATCTACCACACCAAAGTATTACAACGAGCTTCTTCCAAATTTTATTGCATAAATAATTAAAATAATTGTAAATAATACAGTTATATTGACAAATCTACATTAATCAGTATAGATATTATATATATAGATATAGTATATATAGATAATATTTATGTTAATTATATATAATTAATCATCACCTGTTAAACTTTAAATAATATTAAAAGACAAATTATACAGCAAGACATTGTGCATAATGTGTAATAACAGAATGAAAAACAAACAAAACCGCCTAATCGGGATAGTGGTTAGTGATTCTGACTACCATACCGAAGTGCTCGGGTTCGAATACCGCAGAAGGCAGCAATGTTTGTAAATATACAGTATCTATGCGGAATGAGGGCACTCTAAATATGCGGCGAGCCGAAAGTCCTTTTGAGAGTTTGCCGGGAGGGGAAGATGGGTGCAAACCCTCGGAACCGCTCCCTCCCGGTATGTTCCCTCTCAAAATTGGGGGAGGAATTGAGCTAAAGTCAGGCTGTCACCTATATAGTGCCCAAGGCTTTTCCTACTGTGAATGTCGTGGGCTTCGTCAGGCAAGTGAAATCGGTAACAAAAATAGCAACTAAACAGAAAATTCTTTTTACATTTCCTTTAATATTAAAGGCTGAACAGGTTGACTGAATGGGGGTTTTTCTTGCTTTCTCTAGTGTTACCAGAAAAGTAGCAGAAAGTTAAAGTAACAGAAAATTCGAAAAGCAACACGTGCCCTAAGGCATCACGTGATTTGTGATGTGGGACATCACTGGCACATGAGCTTACATAACCTCTAATATCATCACGAATTCATCCTACACGGGCTCCTGAAACGCAATTTTTGGTAGTTTTATTACTATATCAGTTTTGATGAAAATCTTAAAACCATAACAGTAATCTCCATTTCTTCTTTTCATTAATTCTGAGTTAATTCTGAGTAATCCTATACGAAATAAAGAAGAAGTATTGTTGTAATTGTAAACGTTTCGGTTATCAGATTTCTACGGAAATATCCATTTTGACTAATTTCTTTTCTTCTTTTTTTGCGTGATGCCTGTACGTACAGACAGAATGGACTCTTTATTTCAAAACGGATAGTAAAATGGATTCAAAATGGATTTTTTTTCATGACGTCTCTACGTACATACGTATGCATCCCGCAAAACTCAAAAAATAATAGTCATAGAACGCTGAAATTTTGTGTATGAGATTTCTATAACATCTAGTTGCGCCCTTCCCTTTCTTTATTGCAATCGGCAGTACATGCGACATGCGACGGAGGACGTGGGCACCATCCCTCTACCATTAGGGTTAATTGGTATAGCGCCACGTCCACCTGTGTCTAGTGAAACGTGCCAAGGTCACTGAGTCCACAAAAACGCCTCGCACCGACCACTGAAACCCAGCGTCTGATGCAGGCCACATTGCATCAGCTATACCCTTGCGGCCACTGGGAAATTATTTTACAAATATTGTAGAAAATGACATGGCTAAACAAGGGTCATCACTGCTGCTGCAGGCTGAATTATCAGACATTAGTATGCACAAGTTGCTGAATTATATACCAGATTACTAAATTATATATTGGAGTACAATATGGTATAGAATCATGTAATGCATAGTAAGATTATGCTAATGCTCAAAATACATATTGAAACAGGAAGTATTATACATATTGAATTATGACACTTACTGTATCTGAACATACTAAGATATGATATACATAATGAGGTTATACAGATACTTCTGAGACTTGAAATACATGGTGAAACATTAAATACTGTACATACTGAACATGAGCATACTATGACTGAGCATATTGAAACATGAAATATATAGTGAGATATTACTGATTACGCTAATTACACGAGATACCTGATGAAACATGAAATACTGTACGTACTTACTGAGACAGAAAACATACTATAACAGAGCATACCGGAACGTGAAATGCATGGTAAGATTATACTGATATAAGATACTGAATTATATACAGGATTGCTGCATTATATACAAGAGAGATATTTGTATAACAAACATAGAAGGCATAGTGAGATTGTACTGAGACTTGAAAAACATGTTGGAACAGGAAATGCTGAACATACTGAAACATATAACATACTATAATTGTACATTCTAATACGTGAAATACATAATGTACTGCTACAAAGTACTGAGTTATATACGGAATACTTAATTATATCCAGGAGAGATATACATATGTCAATATTGAATTGTATAGAAAGGTTATACTGGTGCTTGAGGTACATAGTAAAGCACATTGTATCTGAGCATTCTGAAACACGAGGGTAACATAATGAGGATATACTGAAATAAGATACTGATACTAATACTTATGTTATACTGATATTTGAAAGACAGAGAAACATGGGAAACTGAACATACTGAAACATGAAACATGCTGTTACTGAATAAAATGTGACATGAAGTACCTT